AAAAAAATATGATTATACATACTCTTTTAATGTCTTTCCACACATGTTTTATTCCACAGATATCAAATGACATTATGAAAACCTTCACATTCATTTGTTAATTGTGTAAGCTTTGATAATTTTACTTATTCCTTTGTTTAAGATCGATTTAAGTCGTTTTCAGAACTGCACAAAACACCACGCGCTCGTTGTTTCCGCCATCTTTGTTTTCACCGTCGTTGTCAATTATTTACCGACCAAAAATAAATTGGTTAAATATTTATTTGCCAACCAATTATTAATTGATTGAAAATAATCTTAATCATATGAAATTGGTTGTATTAACCAAAATAACAAGAGTTAAAGCAACCAAATATTTTGACCAAAAAAACAATGTTAAAATAACCAATTGGAATTGGTAGCCAAAAGAGAAATTGGTTATTTTAACATTCAATTTTTACAGTGCAGTACAACATCAAGCCAAGTGTTGGTTTCAAGAAAAATTGTTTTTTGTTGATATTGGAGATAAATGTTTGGATTACAGACAGATCATTAAAATACTAAAACTCCATTCTGCCCACGTTGCTTCATTTCTGTCAAAGGATGTTACCCATGTAATAAGAATAAAGAAATATCCTCTCAACAATAAATACACTGCTAAAAATCAACAATACAGCCGTGGTAAAAAAAATGGTGCAACGTGCTCTCAAATCACAGACATCGAATTCAAAGGAAAGCTCTGTACAGCACCCTTATACAGTCCTAACGCCAAATGTTGTTATGTCATTCTCAGTGAAATGTAGCTTAGACTTTAATCATGCACCTGAACAATAACAAGTCAACAATAGAAATAGCTAGCAACCAAATGGCAAAAGCAGATGTGAATGTAAGAGAATTGCAGGGATATTATATTAAGATTGAAGATGAAGCTGGCATGTATAGGCCACTAATAACTGAAATAACTGAATGGCCAGAACTTCATTTTGACAGTGACACTGACACCCCATTCTGTTATCCAAAAGTCAAGAGAACGCCATTTTCTACCAAACAGTGGAGAAAAAGAAAGCTATGTGAACTGTGTAACAAATATTATAGTGTTGTTGAACATCATGTGAATGGACCTGAGCATCAAGCTAATGCAAGAAATGACAAGTTGTTTGCACGCATTGACGCATTGATAGCTGCAGGACCAACAAATTAATGATTCATAGGTTAATTTAATGCAGTACTATGTAATTATATTTACTTTGTCTGCAGGGTCATCCAAGAAATGTAAACAAGATAAAGTTTTGGAGATCATAGAGATTGAATGTTGTCCACGTGCTTGTTTAAAATGTCTGTCTTATAAAGATATCAGTGAAGTTAGAAATAAATTTAGCGCACTTGCCACCACTGTACTTGAAAGGAATTATATTCTTAGCTACCTCAAGGATAATACGTCGAGTACATCAAAACAAATCCGCTCAGGGACAACCACAACTGTGTTTCAAGTCAGAGGACAACCAGTTTGCAAAGAGGCTTGGATTCTCATCCACGGAATCAATCGAAGAAGATTCGATCGAATTAATCACGACTTTAAAACTGGTTCAGAACTGTATGTACATGGCAATTCTGGTCTAAAGCGACCAACAGCAAAGACATCAGAATGCACAGCATGGTTGAACTTTCTTGTCAATGCAATTGGTGACCAACAGCCAGACAGTGGAAAAGTGCACTTGCCGTCTTGCTTTACAAAACTAGCGTTGTACAAGAAAATGTGTGAAGAATTTGACTCAGATGACAATGTGAGTCGGTCGCAGTTCTACAGCATATATAATGGTTCAGTCACGTTTCAATTCCAAAGGTTTGTGATGCATTACAATTCAAATTGTTGTGTGTTTCTCTTTCGTTTCTCTTTCAGAATTGGAAGTCAAAAAGGTGGTATAGGCTTAAATATTACTGGAAATATTACTTAAATATTAGGCAAGTTGAAAGCTTGCCTACTATTTACTCATTTTTCCTTACATAAACAAATAGATTGAGCAATAACCTTCCCCTTTACATGTTTACTGTGCTTTTTTGGTCCGATTACTAAGGCAGAGTTCTACAGCTATACTAACAGTACCTTTCATGCTTTTGTTGTAGATGCATGTGAGAGCATCGGCAAGCAGAAACACCCATAAACATAACTAATTATGTACTTCCAATGAAACTTTTTTTCTCATTCACTAAAGGAAAACAGATTTACAAAATGTGATAGCTGCACTGGATATAAAAAAGACCTTGAATCTACAAGCAACAAAGAAAACAGAATAGCAATTCAAGACCTTCTCAACAAGCATATTGAACTTGTAATGTAAGTACTACAACATTGTTTGCAGTGACATGGCTATATCAAATGACTTCTGGTTTAAGTTTAGCCTGTTCCAAGGGCTCTTAAAGAATGGCGAGGCAAACAAGCGCAAGGCGAGGCCAGCATTTGGACAAATCGATTGCGAATCTTACTTCTATGCTTGACTAGGTTTGAAATCCGAATCTCACATGCGATTGGTTATTTGCAAAAAAATGTGAAAGAAGTTTGGAAATTAATAAACATGTACTATATATATATATATATATATATATATATATATATATATATATATATATATATATATATATATATATATATATATATATATATATATAT